CAGACAGATATGGGATTGTTGTGAACAGGCAGACAGATATAGGATTGTTGTGAACAGGTAGACGACTCCTACCTGCCAAAAATTTATATTTGTGTCCCTAGTCCTACTATTCTCCCTATTTAATATGAAAAAATATGACGCATCAACACTATCGATTCCCTTTACAATTTTAAACACCCCAATCACACCCCTCTGACTCTTTTTTTTCAAGAGAAAACAATTTGAGAGATTTCAATTCAACCTCTCTTCGTATGACAAACCCTCCCTCCCTCCCCCCATCTCATGAACCATTCTAGTAATCCTTCTCTGAACCCTTTCCAACAATTCAATGTCTTTCCTAAGGTAAGGAGCCCAAGACAGAACACAATACTCCAAATATGGCCTAATCAGTACCTATACAATGAAATTATACCTTCTTTAGACTTGTATTCAATATTTCTACAGATACAACCTAAAATCTTATTTGCCCTACCACTAGCAACAGCACACAGCTCTTGGATGGCTTTAGAGACTGATCAACTATTACACCAAGATACAACCTAAAATCCTTTTTGTCCTGTCGCTAGCAACAGAACACTGCTTGAATGGCTTTAGAGACTGATCAACTATTACACTAAGATCCCTTTCTTTCATAACACTGTTAAGGTTATTCCTATACAAATTATACTTATAATATAATTTATGATAACCCACATGCATTATTTTGCATTTGTTATAATTCAAACCCGTCTGCCATTTACTTGCCTAACTCACAAATGATCTAAATCCTTTTCTAAATCAGCAGCATTCTCTTCACAGCTAGCAACACCCAAGACCTTAATGTCATCTACAAATTTAAGAATTTATTGATGTAAATCAAAAAGAGCTGAGGTCCTAGGACTGAGCCCTGAGGTACTCCACTTGTCATATTAACCCAGTTTGACTGAACTCTATTTGTAAAAAACATCTGCTTTTTTCCATCCAGACATTTTTCATCTAATTTGCTAACTTATCCCGCATACCTAAAGATAATTTTCTACACAAACCTTTTATGTGGCACCTTGTCAAATGTTTTCTGAAAATCCGGATACACCAAGTCTACAATCTTACTCTCATCAATATAAGTGTGAAAGATATTAAAGTCAAATAACTGCCATGATTGGATTGGATTATTTAGGTATTTATTCAGTATACCAGGATGGAAAGACAACTCCAGGTAGCTGGTCTTGTCTCACCCCACCCGGTTTATACTTGGACAATTTTTTTTCAAGAGAAAGGGAGTAATTTAAGTAATTATTACAGAACTGTTAAAGTAAGAGTCTTTTGTTCTTTTTCACATCACTTTGTAATTATTAAAAAAAATGGGTGTAGGTTGTGAGTCTTATAAATTGTAGAAATATAAGGTAGTTTATTTCTACAAGAATATTTTTATTTGTTGGGGCGCCATGCTTTATTATACATCTTCTTATAATATCTAAAAGGGTGGAGGTTTACATTTTATAAATTTATGGTGGTTTATTTCTACTTTAAGGTTATCATATATCTAAATACTAAGGGTAACTGCCTTCTCACAGCTGGCTCCAGACAGCCAAAGGCAGTAGGAGTTGAGACGTTGTGGGTTCAAGTATTCAAATCATAGTCCTTAACTGATTCTTCATAGTTGCTGAGAAGTTTGACATCAATGTTTGGGATCTTGTTTGATAGATGGAATATCCCCAACGCGGTTGAGAGTTTAGCCACAGATATTTCCCGCTATGAGTTAATGACGACGACAAGGACTGGTAATAGAAAAATAAAAATGTATTTTTTTAGTCTCATTGTGAACGTTTTTGATTTGTTTGTGTATATACAATATATATATGAAATTCTGCTTCTCTTACAAACAAAAGATAATCTCTACATCAGACCAATCTTTTTTCTTTTTGAGTGTGTGTGAATATTTTCATTTTAAAGATTTCTTCTTTTTTCGGAAGATATTTTATTCCATTTTATTATGTGTTTGAATTTCATTCTTTTTTGTATTGTAAATAAGGATTGACTTTTTGTTTCTTTTACGGGGTTTTTGTTTAACAATATTAAATGTTAATGGAGTATCTAATAAATTACCTAAAATTTTATTTCAGAATTGATTTTTTTTATCCCGAAGTTCAGTAATCTGGAGTAAGGATACCTAAGTGTTATATATACACGATTGTTTCAGTTTAATGGGAGCAGTAAGATTTATATAGAGCGGGTGTCATATTTATATATATTTTTTTAGAAGCGACTTTTTGTGGTTTGTTAACGTAACTGTTTATGAATCACAAATTGTGTAGTTCAATTGTTATGAATTAACGATTCATTACAATAGTGAGATTATTTCATTATGTTGTTAGAAATTTCTGAGTTTCTCGTTAGTTTAATTAAGTATTAATGCATCAGAATATCTAGTATTGCGTAAAATGTTCTAGAGTTCTGTGGGGATATAACTACACGTCGAAATCTCATTATTGAGTTCAATTTATAGACTGCGTGATTGTGAATTTAGCTATAAAAAGAGTGTATAGTGACGATTTTTAAAGTGAAATTATCACAGACTGAACTCTAACAACAGAGTAGAGAAGAATAATTCGCCTTGTCAGTTGTGTTCTAAAGTAACTGAACCAGACTGTGTGGACTTTGACGACAAAGATAATTACTTAAAGCTCTGGATAAAACTGTGGTAACCAACAGTGTAACGAACATTTGATTTTAATATATTATTTTTAAAACAAGCAGACAGTGTTGCTGTTTATTTATAGTTAAAATTTAGAGCCAAAAAGTCACAGGCCTACTGTAAATAATCCGGCCTTATAAAACCTGACACTAAGGAAGTTTAAAAATTGGATTCTGCCCAAGAAAAAGAATTATCACTTAAAACGAACCATATTATAAGTCATAAGGCACTGAATTCTTGGACACTTTAACAGATTCTATTAAAATAATTTTACTGCAAATAATACAAAACAGTTGCTGTCATTTTTGAAAATATATAAATTGAATCTTTTAATTGTAAAAATATGAAATTGTTAATATCCACGCTTAAAACAATTATTGATAGATGAAATCAATGAGAAATAGCTAGAATTAGCTTCATCATCTATATAATGTAACACGATTTTGTAACAAGTACAAAAAAACAGTAAACTAATCAGAATCTAACTGATAATTCAATGGTACCAGCTGTAAGTCACATGGCGAACGTGTAGCTCATGGAGAAAGCTCATTATATTTTCATTGTCAAACTTAATGAGTTTCTGATTTTGAGATATTTTTTTTTTTACTTTTATAACAATAAATAAAAATATACATAAATTTAGTTCTTACATTTGGCCTCTTGTTTATAACTGCTGTCTACCCACCCTAAGAAACTTAAGCCTACTTTTTTTGTAATGATGGTTTATTTCAAGTATGCATTCAAGAACACAAAATAACTAGTCACATTGGCAACAATAGTTATAAATTTAGCTAAATAACTTGAGTTTTAGTCAGTTTGGGGAGAAAATAGCTTATATCCAGTAAAAGTGGCTGGGTTATATGAAACAAGTACTCGCACTGTGTTTGTGCATAATATAGATTGTTCATTGTATGTTTGTACAATTGTGTCCAGTTTCTTCATTTCCTTCTCATGAACTCAGTTACTCAGAATTAACTGTGTAATAAACATTTTGTCGAATCTCCCGTTTTTCTGAAAAACTATACTGTAATTCTAAGGGAAATCTGTTTAACCTGCAAATACCATAAGTGAAGCAATTTGTGGCACGTGAGTAAAAGAGACAAGACTCAGTTTGGTAGTCTAAAAATAAAACTATTTATTAAAGCAAAGAAGCCAATAAGTTAAAAACAATATAATGACAGTGAATATAAATGAATAAACAGGGTTTATGTGCATTTTACACGATCAGCAGATAAAATCAAGAATATGATACGGCAGACTCCCACGTTGAGTTTTGGCTTTCTTATGAGAAAAAGTGAACTGCCCTTTTCGAAGTTCAATCAATATCTCTTCAAAGTATTAAAAACTTCACAGAACACATTATTCTTGCAGCTAACCAATGAGAAAATGGCACCAGGATGTGGAAACGCATATTCCATGTGATATTCACAAGATATATCTCAAGTACAAGAGGAAGGATGACACAATGCAACTATTTCACAGAACAATATGTTTCTAGACCGGTCAAGATACAAAAATTAACATCTATGGTTAAATTTATCACGTGACCTGTACCAGATTTCATGTGTTCTAGAATCAAAAACTTAAAAATAAGTTAGACTTTTGAAAATAATATATATATCGCATTATCGTTATCGGTTCAAGTTCTCATCTTATTGTTTTATAGTACTGATTTAATCGCCTATTAACAATTAATATAATCAATAGTTTGTGAGCTATATATATATACACACACACACACACATTATGGGAGAGTAAGATGTTTAGTATTCGGATACTAAATACCCCCCCCCCATGTTTTTCCCAAAGCAAAAATTAATTTAACTTAATTTAAGTAACCAATAAAATCGGGGGTTAATCACGAACTATGGTTAGATTGAACGTACTCACAGAATGACACAAAATGACCACCCATATTCAGGACAAGATTCACATGCACGACGAACATTTTCATCTGACACATATAACTAACTAAAATAACATGCAATAAAACAACATTAAATCCCTTTAATCCTCTCGCTAGGGGTAGGTCAAAGCGCGCAGGTCATGAACTTTTAGAGTTACATTCAAAATTAAATTAAACTACTTTATTGTCATTCTATACGAATAAACTTACCACCACAAACGCAGTTAATAAATCAAATGTTAATATTACACAAGTTTTAATTTAATAAGGAAATATTTTTTAAAATATTCAATTTCCCCTAGTATGGGGAATTGTGACTTTTGTTCTCTAAGTATTCCCTCTTCTCTTATCTATTTACCACCCCTCTGAGAAGTAACGTAAATTACTCATTATAATATAGATATTACTAAAGCAAAGCATAATTTTATAGCCTTCAATCTTATTTGTTTAAAGTGTCATAAACTAGAAAATCATACCCATTTGCTTCATCTTCTCTTTCCCAAATTGCTAATAGTTCTCTCCGACTTTTATACTAGATTATTTATAACCAATAGAAAGTCTAAGTTTTAAGCTATCAAATGACATATTATATTATGTTTTCTGTACAGAGTATTGCCTATTTCGTCTTCAGTTTGAAAGCTTCTCTCGCGGTGTTCATATCAACAAGCTTAGCTAAAACGGTTAAAAAGCCAGATAAATTATGATAGTTATAGAGCTATTTCCTTTGTGCGTGTTATTATATTGTATTATTAGGTGCATTATTTAAGTAAATAGTACCATTAGTAAAAAGTAGGCTTTAAATACTTAATCAAAAACAGATTTTGTGTGCAAAAGACTTTGAATATTTACTAAAAGCTTGCCAAATTTCGTGAATATATACTTACTACATCAGAAGTTATAATTTGGATACTTTCATGGTTACCTGGTGATTATTACGTAGTGGTAGCAAGGTGAATGAGCTCAATTACTAAATTTTTGAAAGATGGACACAGAGTTGTATAAAAAGCTTTAATTCACAGACATAGTAGGATACAGAATAGTGACATCACAACAATCAAACACATGAATATTCTATTATCATGGGAAGAAGAAGAAAAAAACTACAAATACACAGAAATCTATTGATTGCCTAGTGACATTACATAAAGGTATGTAAAAACAAAATAAACCATATAATAAATATGTATTACTAACATTGGCCCTAAAGCATTAAGGTGTATGAAATGTGAAAGTGATCAACTGATATGTGTCTGACTGAAAATGGGGAATGAGGTAGTGAAACAACAATAATAAAAAGGACAACATAATTACCTAAAAGAATTTTATACTCCCTTTCACCTGTTCTTCGGATACCTGCAATCACTTCTTTAAATATTGGTTAAGCACAAATCAAATACAGCAACGTCATCCTAGTCATGTTATTTATTGTTAAAATTATTGAAATAAGGACAAGTGCAACAATTAATAAAAGCACAAGAAACGCGAACTATAAGCCATTTTAAATGCATGAGAAAAGTTAAATACATGATTTAACAACCTTATCATGCTTGGATTTATTCAGAGGCTTACAGATGTTTTACATTTTGTTTTTAAACACACTTGCCTTTATTGATCAATAACACTATGGTTGATTATATTAAAATCTGGCAAGTAAATTGATAAATAAGGTTCAAAGAGAGATAAAAATGAAAAAAAAAAGGCAAGAGGATTGCATGCTCATAAAGAAAATATACTTTGTTTTCTCTAGAACACTTGAAAACAGCAATTAAATCTCACATCCCCTAAAAGAATAGTTCTAGTAAGATAAAATGTTCACCTACAATTTTCATTTCTTTGAAGCTTAATGCCTGTTTATTAGATTTAAATTGAATTTTTGGATCTAGTATTGTAAAACTCTTGTTTTACAAATGATTCTAAACACAGTAAAATAAACAACAAAACCAAAAAGTCAATGAAAAGAAGATTGGAAATTTGAATAAATATGGTGTATATTTTTGGAACTAAGAATGATGATGATTTTCTTTTTAAACTATGGTGTTTACATAATTTTTCTAAACAAAGTTTACATCTGTTTTGGAATGAAGGTGTGCAAGTTTTTTTTTATCTTCAAATAACTCTTTCAGTGTTTTTTACCCTTCAAAGAGTAAATGTTTAACAAAACAAATTGTATTTAATGTTGACACACACAACTTTCAATATTTTATTTCTTAAACTCCTATCTTTATAGTGCCCAGCTGCATAGTCGATTTGTCACTCAAGATAATAATAAATCTTGTAATATTCATATAAATATAGAACATATGATAATAAAAAGAAAAAATACATCTTTTATCTACATTATAACTAAACTAAACTGGTAATGGAACAATGGGATTAAAATTAAACCTGAAGGATAAAAATACAATTTTCATAGACTGGTCATTAAGTTACATTACGTAGTTAAGACCTGAAACTGTCTCTCACTGTCTCAAGAAGCAGTAAAAGATTATATTATAAAATTCAGAAATACAATTTACCACAAAGAACTTTACTAACATTTCATATTTAGAATTAGTGAATATGAGAATAACAGTTTTAATGTCAACCAGTGAACCCTTCAGGGCTGAATGACATTCCTTTAATCAAATCTGAGTTCAGCTGATCATCCAGTTCTCAAAGTCTCATCAGGCAGATGAAGTCTACAGGAGTTTTTAATAGATCATAAACGTAATCTGTGTTAAGATACTTTACAAAAAATTTGTAATACTATCCACACAAATTTTTCTTAAACCTTTGCAACTGGAGTTTCCAGATTATTACACATACAGTACCAATAAAGAGGTATGCCAAATAAAAGCATTTACAAAACTATAATTTATACCAATTTTCAAGGGCAATCTAGTTGCATTTAAGCTGTTTTTTTGTAGCTCTTATTATTGCTTTAACATAAAAGTTTACAATTTACACTTAAAAAAAAAAGACATTCACTGACAATAAATTTAACAAAAGCACTCTTTCACTTGTTGACTTACATATACATACATATTTATTAGGCTAGTGAACAAGAGGAAAGGTCATATTTTTGAACAAATATTATTATTTATTATCGAATATTTTGTAAAAAGTAGCCGACTGGTCGTAAAAGCTTACAATGTAAAAATATGAAACTGTTTTATATAGGTAGTAATGACACTGAATTTTTTTAATGTTTCTTTACAACAGCACCTACCAAACTAGTCTTATGAGCATTTTATTGAAAAAAATAGCACTATCCTACCTTTAGAAAACAGAACCCATCACATGTTGAATGCAAAAACAGTGAACTACTTGAAAAAAAGTTAATATTTGGCACACACCACAAAGCACCTAATAATTTGTGGTACTTTTAGTAATGCATTAATTCATATTCCTTTTATAAAAATACAAAATGTCAAATGTTACCTCACAAGATAAAGTAAAAACTACAAGGCAAAATCTTACAGAAGAACAAATGATAATAAAATTTCTTAGATTAATATATCTTATTGAAACAAACTATTGAGGTTTCATGACAACAGACCAGCAGTTGAAACCAGCCAATAAGTCCATATTCAATTATATATATATATACACAATTACAGAAAAATAATCAGTCACCTATCCACGATATTAAAACCCAAAATAGCAGACTACGGTGAGTAATGGCTGAATTCTGTTCTGAAACTTTTACTCGCAAAGTATAGATAACACTCCTACAAAACTGATCAATGAGGTAGTACACCTAATTGACAAACCCCCTCAGCTAAATAAAGAGCATATTTTAGAATATGACAAACCTTGTACAATATATTGTGAGGAGTTAAAGACAAACCACTAAACACCCAAAATTCATGCAGTTTTCGTTGTTTCTAAAACAAAATGCTTTGACTAGCAATGTGTAGGTAGATAGGTGTAGACAAAACCTTGGAAACGAATAAATAATAATTTTGACTAACATATCTGCATATTTTCAATTTACTGTTGTATCTATAAATGGCAAATATCAAATTAAATTAGCCAATGAATTTTAGTGTATGTAGTCATGCTGGATTTTTACAATTTAAATTTCTACCAAATCGTAAAGACAACTTGAAACTTAATTCAATACATAAAACTACTCTAATTGTGAGAATAGTTTTGAAATTCATGAATGATATTCAAGATGCTATTGCTAAACTTAGTTTAGGAATGTTAAGATTGCATATTTTCTGAATTTGAAAGCACATTTTCACATTTGTTACTAAAGGAAACTAGAATTTTTAAAGTTTAACTTTTAATGGCTTTTACATGAACAAAATAAATGGAAGTATAAGTATATAATAGAAAGCCCAATTAATGGCTAAACAGGAAGCTTTTCAAACAAGAACCCAGAATACAAGTTTTTACAAGCAACATGCACCATTCCTTCTCAGATCCACCAGAAAGTATCGACAATATTCACAGTAATATAAAATAGAGTGAAAATGAGGATGAGAACTTAATCAAAGTTCTAGACATTCCTGACTTCTTGTTATGCCAAAAACTCTATTTAAAAAAAAAAAAGCATGAAGCTAGTTCATAAAATTCTTGCAATAATAATTGTATGTATATATTTAATGAACTGAGAAATATAAAAACAGTCATTTTATCAAAACTAGAGAATTGTAGTATACAAAATCAATTTATAGCTATTCAGATCATTTCAGTACACATTTATAATCTTATTTTTTAAAGTTGAGAAATGTAATCAAATATAGTTGAAAAGAACAACAACCTAATGAAAAGTGACTACAAAAAATATCTTATAAAGCCTGTTTTCTTTTCAAATCAGTGTTAGATACAATGACTAACAAATAACTTAAGTTACAAACATTCAGAAGTTTTTAATTCTTTTATGCTTACTACTCTCTTAGCTACTTGTGTTTTAATCAAAATGTTTATGGTTTTGAGAATTGTTTTTAAGCAAAAGTATTACTTTGTTTTTTTTTGTACTTTCAGACATTTTTAAGAAAGCTGTCTTTAATGTAATTTTTAAGCTGTTTAGCTTCTAATTTTATCAGTTTGAATATTCTACTACCCCTGTACACATAGAAAACATTAACCCTCAATTTCAAATGGAAACTACTTTTCTTAATTGTCCAATCAATTTTTTACCTCTCTAAGCACCAACACAATCTATGTATTTTTATAATAGAAGAAACTCTACAATCATTTATACTTTTCAGCATTGCTTCACCAACTGGTTTATCTAATAAAGTGTGTACAGAAAAAATAAAATGTTATAACTGAACAATCACAAAATCTTTCCTTGTATGATTAGAATTAAAACAAAAACTACAACTGTGATTGCCATCACCATGACATCAAGTTTAAAATACAAACAAAGTATTTATGTCTGCAGTACTATTAACCAAAACAATTATTTGAAGTTAGATTTACATAAAGAACTATACAAAATAATGAAGTCACCTGTCTCACTACAAGCAAATGAAGTTGGTTATAAATATCACAACTTAGACAAAGCTGTCTTTTTACCATCCACAAAAATAACAAAAACATAATATAAATTACTGTCTTGTTGCAGTTACACAAAAATTTGTGCTTCTGTGTTTGCATATGTGCATGTTGTTAACTGACCTTATATGTTAAAAATTAAAATGAAACAGCCCAACACACATTATATATATATATATATTTACAATCCACATCTAAGGTGAAAGTTTAGGTTTCTTTGGGGATTTCTTACGGGCACTATTCTTGTGACTCTGAGCATGTATCTGTTCAGTAATCCTCTTTACAAGGTCATTCAACTCTGCCTGAAACAATATATTTTCAAATTATATTAAAAATATCTCAACTTACTTAACTGCAAATGCTTCTGGTGTAACTACAGGTCACACTTTTTAATGTATACTATTTTACTACCAAATGAATCAACAGATTACATTTTCTTCTTATAAATGTTTATACAATTTTCAACCAGTATTTTAATTTGATTTTATATTGTGATACACCCAATTTATAAACTCTACATTATGCCTTTCATAAAGACCAGGGCCTTAGTGAAAATTTTTTTGTTTTTTTTTAATCAAGGTTCAAATTAAGCCTCTATCAAATGATTGGGTCTTAGTGAATATTTTCAAGACATTTTACACACCCAAGGGGAGATTCTGATTTGAATAGGACTAAACTTTTACCATTGAAACAAGTGCTTGATAACCCACCTGATCATATGTGTACATCAGTTTGGAAAACCTTAAGTTCTTTTTCTTCTGTACATGCTGAATTGCGTGGTCAAGGCAGTAGACACTATCCTCTTGAGTATTCACAACCTAATTGAGTAAACATATAATTTCATTATCAAGAGCTATATAAAAATTACATACACAAACAGTAAATTATAAAAATGGTTACAAACACACACACTCTCCAAAACAGAAAAATCGAACATTTTAAACACTAAAAACAAAAGAATAGAATCATATGAATTTTGTTTGAGTATCACAAGCACTCACAAAAAGAATAATCCATATAAAATGATGAAATGTAATTGCAGTTTACTTATAATTTTAAGAGTATCTGAAAAGATTATGAGGTATCATTTAGGCTCAGTCCCTAGTGTTTAATTAATAGTCTTCTTTATTCACTCCACAACATTCTTTCATTTTCTGCTGAGCATAGAATGTTGAAGTCTTTATTGCAAGGTGTTCCATTAAATGTTGGTGAGAGAAAGCACAACATCTTATACTTCAAATGTAAAAATAAAACTGTTTTACTGAGAATGAATTCTTTAAATAAAATTCACCATTGAGATATAACAGTGTGCTCTGCAAACTTCACATTCTTGTTCACTTTCATCTTCTGTGCTACGAGGACGACGTTTCTTGTCTCGGACTTCTACCAGTGGAAGTCGCTCAGACGTTTTTAGACCCAAGTCATATAATTGCTTTCTAAGTTTAAGAGTTTGTTCTCTGCAAAGAGAAACCAAATGTTTTGTTTTTTGTTACTGATGAAAAGCTGTAGAACATATTTGTTCCAAATAAACCCATATATATGCAAAGTTATATGTAATTATTTTTAGAAGACAAAGTTTAAAAATTTATAAACAAAGGGCAATAACAAATATTTACTGTTTTATTCAATTTAACGTTAATATTAACTATGATCATTAACAAATTATTACATACAATTCTATACAACACAACACAGAATTAAAATTATGTTTCTTTAATACAACATTCCACAGAATATGTTTTTAATCCTTCACACCAAGGTGGTGCATCAATGCAACACACCTATTGTATGCTTTGTTTTATTGCATTGCAAAAACAGTAAAAGACTATTGGATGGAATAGTTTGGAAATTCAGAAAAACTTTCTACAGATTATGTAGCTTCTGCAAATGTAGCTTCTTATATGTGATATTTTTTTGAATTTGCCGCATTGAAAATTGGAAAAGATGTCACTGTGATATGATTCTTAAGAAAGAAATAGAAATACTTACCTTTGTTGCATATTTTACTTACTTATTTTTCTACATCTCCCTACATTATTTTAAAACTTTCCTAAAAAGTTTAATTTATAAAACTATAAATTTTATCTTTGTTTTGATTCAATAAAGATTACAAGCAATTTCAGTGTTTAAAATCACTGATGTACAATAAAAATCATTTCTTTAACACACCAAAATTATAAACAAAACTACCTTTTTTTTAAAATTGTTTTCCAGATTTCATTTAATATACATAACAAGCTTAAAACCCATTTTATATTCATTTGCATAAATACATATACATATATTTTTTACATTTCTTTTGACAATTTTCTTTGCCATTCAAGCAATTACTAGGCTAATGAAACCTGATGTAAACAAGACCTAACATAGCAGCCTTGTCAGCAAAATGACATTTTATATGGTTCAGTGCAAAATGATTTAACTAATCCTACCTCATCTTGTTCCACAAGAAACATTTTTCTACCATACTGCAACATTATAATCAAAATGAAGTATAAAATGGTAAAGCAAGTTTCCCAAACTTTCAAAAAAAAAATAGGACTGTTATTGTGGCAGAAGGTGCTTGCAAAAAACCTTTTCTTCTAGCAAAATTTCACTCAGCTAAGTTTTTATTATTTCATTTCCATCTCTAGATGAATCGTCACTGAACTGTAGGCCTTACTGCCTTCTAATAAAGTTAAAAAAAAACAGGAACAAAAATAAAGAAAACTTTCACTATGTGTTTAGATCACTAGCCTATGACTTCTTGGGAATTTGAAAAATGTGTATTTATTCAGACCATACTGAAATCAACCCAAAATTCACATTTATATTTTTTATATAAAACTAAATAGAAAAGTTTTTCAATAAATTAATTTTAACTCTGAGTTTTTTTTTGTGTGTGTGTGTGTGAAAAAATTACAACAAGTTTATTTTCTGTACTTTTTTAATTCAAAGGTGCAATTTTGCCCTCAAGGTAGAATTCACCCATCCGGCTATGACAGAGTTAGCAAAACATTCCACAGGTTCTGATTAGAACTTCTTTAATGCAACATTCCACAGATCCTGAATGGTATTGTTTTAATAGTACACATCACAAATTCTAATTACCAACATAACACATTATCTTACAGGTTCTAACTAGCATTATAATATATTATCCTACAAATTATCTCAATAACACTATCTTAATGACTCAGTAACATTTCTAACTCAATATTAAAAAAATTTCTATTTTGTATTCTGATAAATACTTCTATAAAATATTATCCTCTAGGTTCTGACTGATACACAAGAACTTCTGACTTCTATTTCTATAAAAATGATACTATGTAGAATGATATTTTACCATTACCATTTTTCACATAGTCTGACTAATATTTTGTAACCCAACAGCTTTCAGATTTTTCTATAACCCAATATTATACACATTTGTATTTTTATAACACAGTATCTTACAATCTTATATTCTTATAACACAATAACACCTACAGTTTCACTTCCATAACAATATTCTACACACTTGCACATTTTAAACAATATCCCACACATCTGTATGTTTATGACACAACAACATTCTGGTATAAGAGTTAGCACACAGTATCACACACAACAGTTTTAAATTTAATAATGAGTTACATATTCCGACAAAAAGCACAGCTATGGGGATCATGATGGCACCAAACTATGCTAACATTTTTACAGGAGACTTAGAGATGAGACTGTTGGAAAGTTGTACAGACAAACCAAACTTTTGGAGATACTACATGAATAACATTTTTTCATTTGGATAGGAGAGGAAGATTCCTTAGTATCCTTTTATAGACATACAAACTCCTTCCAAACTTCTTTTAAATTCATTCTAGATTACTCCATACCAAAATACATTTGTTGATGTAAACCTAACATTAAGAGATGGTGTTCTGCAAACTGATTTGTACTGAAAATCAAATGATAGACCACATACATTTTCAAAGCTGTAACCCTCCACACACCAAACACAATATTGCATTCAATCAATCACATACATTAAAGAAAATATGCTTTGACACAAAGAACTATGACCATCACACTGATTCTTTGAAACAGACTATGACTGAAAGAGGTTATAAGCAGAACACAATAATTCAACAAGTTTTGTATTTTATTTTATATATATATTTCTACTCTATGAAAACTATTTTAACATCTTTTTAACTATTATCATTCTTACACCTTTCATGTAATATACACATTTCTTCTGTACAAACTAAACCTGACACCAATGTCTCCAGTTATGATTGGCTAAGGTTAACTTATCTTAAACATCCAGCTTACATGATGTTGACATCTGTACTCATATATTACATTGCACTCATTATTCATTACCCTGGAAATTCATTGTAAAATTCAAACTTGTATTCTTATAACAAACACAGTACTTGTACTTTTATAGCAAAATGCCCTATGGACTTTTTTGTTACACAGTATCATAAAAAAAATTATGTTATATTACACAACATCTTACAATGTGAAATGTTATTTGGATATCACAATCTTATATTCATTCTGGCTAGCATTTTATAACACAGAATCCTTCTGATTCTTTAGTATAACAAAGTATTTTACAGATTTATGTCTTTATAACAATATTTGCATTTTCAAAACAGAGCAACCTGCAGAATAGTACTTTGAATATCACATGTCTTAGAAATTGTGGTATTTAAAAGATTAAAAAAGGACACAAGAATCAAGATTTTGCAACAACAAAACATTCATGGACCTACTTTATGGAAGGACATGTGTACTGATTTGTTGCAGGTGGAAAGAAAGAAGCAAGACTCAGTGTGAAGGTAAAGTTTTACCAAAAATGATGAGGGCTATTGTGTTATAATTAAAGTTAAAAATTAAATTGTATTTAAATGAAAATTAAACAAAACTACTTAAATGACAAAAAGTCAAATAAAATTAATTTTATAATCATCTGGAATGTTAAACAATCAACATATTGAAAAATACATGAAAGAAAAATGACACTTCCACAATAACTCTTCAATCAGAAACAATATGGCTGAAAATGCCAAACTGCCCTCACATTCTCATTTTTCCTGTGGATCACAAGTATCCAAAAAATATTTGTTTCCATGTGGTGGCTGTAGAGCAGTCCCACATACAAGTAAGACACAATACATCTATCCCATGAACCTGTAGCTTTTCCATGACTTGATCCTGCTACATAAAGTAACACCTAAAGCTGAAATAGCACGACTTTGACCAGATTTAGTGTGTTGAACTTAGAACTGTAGAAAACTTAATTTTGTAAAATAGAAATATACAGTATAGATGAGTGAGATGTGTAGTACTTTGTTTACCATACTTGCTAAAGACTGACATTTTTTAAGGGTACCATTTCGTATTTTAAACCATTTTTTAAGCAATCAAGACAATAAATATCAACGTCTCTAAAAAACTGTATTCTGATTCATCAGGTGGAAAATGAAATTTTAAAACAAATATTAAAACCACAACAATACCCAAAAATATTTTTAAATATGGATATTTTGGAACTTCTTCAAATTCCATCATCAGCATTAAAACCTCAAAAGTTAGTTCACAATATTCTAACTACAAAAACAACATTAGCTGTTAATCGAGTTTGCATATTCAAATGGAAGGTTAGAAAGAACAGATTTAAATGGTAACAATATAATGGAATGTACAATAAAACGTGTGGCATACACATTTTAATAAATAACATTGTTAAGAGAAAACATTATAAATAAAGGCTTAAATAAGGATAAACATCTTTAAAAAATAATAATTATAAAATAAAAACACTGAAAATCTGAAAGTGATTAACTTAATGACAACAGGGAGGAATTGATTTTATATTTTTAGTCTTCGGTGATCATTGAAAATGGAGTCTTTCTTTAATAGAATATATAATCTGTGGTTCCAGAGTTGAGAATTTGAAAGTTTTCTAGAAGTTGGGTTGGTTATTATTTTCACTGTGCAATTGGAGTTATAATTTTCCTATTCAGAAAATGTATTTCCGATACATACTTCCCTCCGCTCACAAGATTAGCTTTTCCAGGTTTGTACTTCTGTCTATATGCAAATTTTTTTATAACACATGCCACAAGCCTTCCACATCCCCCTAATGGAATCAAAGATTCCAACATGTTACTCATGCAAATCATCATGAATCATCTCTCTACCAATAAGAGAGCACTACTATCACATGATGCATGTGACTCCCTCTATGCACAACTACAAAACCATCACTTCAAAGTTTGGCAGAAGATATAAACACTGGAAATTTGTGAGAAGCAGGGTGGGAAGTGTGAGCGGAGGAAACTACCTATCAGAAATACATTTTCAGTATAGGAAAATTATAACTTCTGATATGGTACTGCTCTCTCTCCACTCACAAGATTAGCTAGAATCCCACGTTAAAAAGGAAGAGGGACTGGTGTGAGGGATGATCAGACACTGATAT